GAGAGAATGTGGGTGAAGCTGTCCCTGGTGCCTGGTGGTTCCCTTCCTGATGGGCCAAATCTGACTGTGTTCCTTTTAGACAAGTAGCCCCGTGAAGGCAGGCTCCGTGTCTGCATCAGGGCTGTATCCCCAGCCCCTCTGCACCTGGCGTGTAGCAGGTGGTCAGTAAAAGGTTCTTTACTGGATGAATGAATCAATAATAACAGGGGACCATGCTTCACCCACCTTGGTGTCCAACCCAAGACTAGTGCGATACCTAGCACCTAATTTTTATAAATGTTTGTTGACAGAATAAATAGATTTTTAGAAATAGCTGTTTGTTTCTGTTTCCAGTTCCACTTGAATTTCTGAATTAAACTGAGAAAGATACTGTGATGGTTAATTTTATGTGTCAGCTTGACTGGGTTAAGGCATGCTCAGATAGCTGGCAACGCTATTTCTGATGTGTTTGTAAGGGCATTACCACGATTAGCATTTGAATCAGTAGACCGAGCAAAGGAGATCTGCCCTTCCCAATGTAGGTGGGCATCGTCTAATCCACCCATGGTCTAAGTAGAACAACAGGCAGAGGAGTAGCAAATTCACACTCTGTGTTTGAACTGGGACAGACATCTTCTGCCTTCAGGCACCAGCGCTCCTGGTTCTTGGGCCTTCTGGCTTAGGCTGGGATTATAGCACCAGCTTTCTGGGTGTCCAGCTTGCAGATGGCAGACTGGGGAACTTTTCAGCCTCCATAACCACGTGAGTCAATCCCTCATAATAAATCTCTTTCTATGCATCTGTACATCTCCTATCGGTTCTGTTTTTCTGGGGAACCCTGACGAATACAGATACTTATTGACTTGTCCCAAATTTCTCTAAGCCTTAGTATTCTTTTTTTTTTTTACATTTTTTCTTTTTTTCAAATGACGAATAATAGATGTACATAGTTTTGGGGTACATGTGATTATTTAATACATTCACATAATTTGTAAAGATCAAAATCAGTGTGCCTGGGATATCCATCACCTTAAATATTCATCTTTATGCTAGAAACATTCAAATTATTCTTTTCTAGCTATTTTGAAATATATAATTGATTATTGTAAACTATACTCACCCTATTGATCTAACCACCTTAGTATTCATATCTGAAAAATGGAGTTATTTATAATATCTACCACATAAGAGTGTTCTGAAAAGTAAATGAGGCAATATGTATTTTTTTTATTTCAGCATATTATGGGGTTACAGATGTTTAGGTTATGTATGTTGCCCTTGCCCCTCCCTCCACCAAGTCCAAGCTTCAAGTGAGTCCATCCCCCGATGGTGTGCATTGCGCTCTTTGTGTATCCATATACCCTCCTCCCCCCCCTGCCCAACATCCAATAAATGTTGTCCTTTATGTGCACTTATGTGTTGATCAGTTAATACCAATTTGATGGTGAGTACATGTGGTGCTTGTTTTTCCATTCTTGGGATACTTCACTTAGTAGAATGTGTTCCAGCTCTATCCAGGAGAATACAAGAGGTGCTATATCACCATTGTTTCTTAAAGCTGAATAGTACTCCATGGTATACATATACCACATTTTATTAATCCACTCATATATTGATGGACACTGGCTTGTTTCCACATCTTTGCAATTGTGAATTGTGCTGCTATAAACATTCGGGTGCAGGTGTCTTTTTTATAGTGAGGCAATATGTATCTGACACATAGAAAATGTTAGTTCACTGTTGTTCCATTCCCTGAGTCTCAGTTTCCATATCTGTGAAATGGATATCCACTCATTCATTCATTCAGCAAACACAGGGCTCATGTGCAAGGTACTGTGGCTAAACAAGGTGAGGAATTCAGCGTCTGCTTTGGAACAGCCCATCAATAGTAAAATCCCAGTGGGAGGAGAGCCACAGTACATGTGAGGTCTCCGGGGGCTAGAGGTGTGGGGCGAGGGGATCTCCAGGGTTTCAGGGAACTTGGAAGGGAGCCTGTGAAGGTTATAGCATCACCAACTTGGTGTAATCACCAACACTGCGTCAGTTTGGAATGGAGTTGCCATTCCAACTGTGGAGAGGCCACTCTGGCCTCTGATTTTCATAGCCTGGGTTGGAAAGGCGTGTCAGTCCTGCTGTGGTCTCACTTCCTACCACGGCTCACAGAGCACACCAGAGACTAGCGAGTGTCACATCGCAGCGAGCATCTTGTTCAAACAGACATTCCCCTCTGAGACTCAGCTTCACTTTCCTCCCCTTCTCCTGGATCTTATCTTCTCAGGGGACTGAACAGGGGTTCTCCTACACTTCTGCAGAAAAATGCAGAGGGTGCCTCTAACGAATGCTGGGTCCCTGCCTGGTTCTCCAAAGACAAAGCTGCCCTTTCCTGAGGTGGGACCCAGGGATGAGATGCTCCAACCCGCATTGGAGATATAGGAGAGGCCAGGCTAGGTCTCTGGGCTCCTGCATCCAAGTGGGCCACATGCTTATTCCTGAATTTCACAGCTGGCTCCAGGTAACTGACACCTGCCAGACAAACTCATGAGCGACTAAAACATCTACATTACAATTTTATATTTAAGCTGGATGTATGTGGGGTTGGGAGAGATTATTCATCTCCAGTGACCAAAATATTTGCACCTGTTATCCATGGCATTCTTTTGTCTTTTATTTTCAGTTGAAAGAAATTTACCTGCCAGGGGTATTTAAATATCAAGGGTGGGTCTGCTGTCAGTGGCCTGGCCAGAGGTAGAAGGATGACTGAGTCCCAGCGGCCCATCCGCAGCAGGCCTCATGGAAGAAGCAAGATTTATGAGGTGAGAGCATGCCTGGCCCGCTGCTTCCATTGGGAAGGGCCTCCCTGCAGTATTTTCTGTCTCGTCAATGCTGCATTTCATTTTAAATTGCAGCTGAAAGCAGATATTTTCCCTCTTACCTATTACACCTCTTAATTTGTCTCTCCCTCTGCTGTTATTTGTCTCTATAAAGTGTTTTGCGTGAAAGAACCACACAGCACAGTGTTGCTTTGCCCTAGGTTAGGTTTAACAGGAAGGGAAGACACAGAGACTAAGTCCAAGGAGGAAGATGTAAGGGCCTTCGGGTTGAGAACACGCGTATCTGGCCGTACATGCTTGGCAGTGTGTACATGCGCATGTTTTGGGGATTATCTGTTGTCTGAGTCTGTTGGTGTGTGTGTGCACATGTCTATATTTGTACTAATGTGTTTATATGGCTATGTATACTTTGGTACAATCACTTGGGCGTCCATACCTAAATTAAATGTACGTTTGCATTCAAGTACACACCCACATGCCAGTCTCTGTATCTAAGCATACAAGCACACATGTGCACATAAACATACGTAGGCATCTAGGTACATGTGTATCACATGTGTGTGGTCTTCCATGCACGTGCCCAGGGTTCTCTCCCTTTCCTTGCTTCTCACTGTTGTGGTTAGCGTCTCTCCCTGCCCCACCTAGGGGCCCTGCCCCGTTTGGGGTTATGGGAAAAGGAAGACAGCACAGTGGTCCGAGGGAGACCAGTGGAAACACCGCCTTAGCCCGACCCAACCGCGGCCACAGCTCTCTGGCTGGGCTCCAGCCACCCCTCCCTCACAGCCTGCCAGCTAGCAGCTGAGAACCCCCGGGCAGCTCCCAGGCCGCCGGACGTCAGCTCCCTGACAACCCTGGGCTGGCACTGAGGGGCGAGAGGTCATTCAACGGCGGGCAGAGCCCTCCGGACTTGCCCCGTCTCCTGCCAGCTGCGGGGGACCAACAACCCAGGCAGCGCGGGCGGAGGCGTGGGGGGGGGTCTCAGTCGCTCCTGGTCCAGCGAACGCTGGGCAGTAACCAATGGGCGACTGTGGCCCAACGGGGATCCCTCCGAGGCAGCCAATGACCTAGCTCCGCTCTCCACCCCGCCCCCGCCAACCCGCGCAGCTGGACCATTGGTGCTGGTGGGATGGGGGGGTGTGCGCGACGCTGGCCCTTTCGGGGAGGGGGCGTGGCTTGGAGTCCAGTCTCCGCTCCCCGCCCGGGCTCAGCCCCTGCACCCGTACCCCCGCGCGAGGCCATTGGCCTGGCTGCGGCGCCGGCGGTGTGGTGGGGGGCGGGCCGCGGGGCGCGCGCCGGTGGGCGTGGCCTGAGGGCGTGGCCGGAGGGAGGCGGGGCCGCGGGCGCTGTCGCAGTGAAAGCCCGAGCGGAGGCGGCGGCGGCGGCGGCGGAGCGGGCGTTCGAGCGGGTGTGCGCGCGTGTGGGGCGCAGGCTCGGCGGCGGCAGCGGCGGCCCGTCTGGAGCGGCCGCTGAGAGGACGCCAGCTGCAGCGGGGGAGGCGCAGCCGGAGCTGCGCGCTCCGCGGAGCCGGCGGCGCCCGGGAACAGGTGATCCCAGAGGGAACCCGGACCCCTACCGAGTTGGCGGAGCGGGAGCCCGCGCTCCTGGGCGCAGCTGCAGCCGCCTAGCCGCGGCTCGTCGCGAACGGCGCCCGGCTCTGGACCCGGGCTCGGGCATCCCTCAGCTCCCGGCAGCCCTGAGGCCCCCAGTCCTCGCAGGCTTGGAAGTGCCTGCTCCCGCTCCCTGGCCTCTAGCGGCTCCCCGGCGCCCGCTCCGCAGCGGAGCAAAGTTGTGGACGTGTCCCGATAGCCGAGCCAGGGCGCTGTCGCGGTCCGGCCGGGTGTGCGCGCTCTCGGAGCGGCGCTGACACGCCAGCCCGCCACCGCCTCGCCCCCCGAGCCAGCCCCCTCTGGAAACTGCTTCTGAGGCTGAAACTTTGGGCGCCGACGAGCGCGGGAGGGAAGTCGAGACACTGAGGGCAGCTCGGCGCGGGTGACGAAGACGCCGCTCGGCCCGGGCCTGCGGGCGCCCCTGGGCGCCGACAGCCTGGGCGCCTCGGACGGCATGTGACGGTCCCGGCGGCGGCCGCAGCGCGGGAAGGCGCGAGCCCCGGCCGCTGCAGGGAGGGGCTGCGCGGCGGCCGGAGGGGAGGCTGCGGCGCGCGGCCGGCCGCTGCGGGCCCGGGCCCCGAGCTGTGCCGCCCGGCTCGCCCGGGCCCCGCCAAGGCCGCTGTGCCCCCGCCTCCGCGCAGGAGCACTCTGTCCAAACTCCCTGAACTTCGGGGACCGTCCCCGAAGCGGCGAAACTCTCAGGGTTGGCAGCCCGGTCCAGGGACCCCCCATCCCGGGCAGCGCTCCCGGACGCCTTCCCCTCGCCGAGCCCGCGGCGGACACGTGCCGGTACTCCAAGGGCCTCGGGGGACCTCGGACGGAGCTGACGGTCCCCAGCCCTTTTCCAGGCCACGATGCTCATGAGGAAAGTGCCCGGCTTCGTCCCGGCCTCCCCCTGGGGGCTGCGGCTGCCACAGAAGTTCCTCTTCCTTCTCTTCCTCTCGGGCCTTGTCACCCTGTGCTTCGGAGCCCTCTTCCTGCTGCCCCACTCCTCTCGCCTCAAGCGCCTCTTCCTGGCCCCCCGGACCCAGCAGCCTGGCCTGGAGATGGTGGCGGAAATCGCCGGCCACCCCCGGACCCGCGAGCAGGAGCCGCCCCCCAACCCGGCCCCTGCTGCTCCGGCCCCGGGCGAGCACGACCCCAGCAGCCGGGGCCGCAGGAAAGGGTGGCTGCGGCGCACCCGCCCCACCGGGCACCGGGAGGAGGCCACGGCCCTCAGGCCGGAGGAGGAGAGCGTCCCGTTCAGCTTTGACTTTAACGCCTTCCGGAGCCGCCTCCGCCACCCGGTCCTGGGGACAAGGGCCCGTGAGAGTGAGGAGCCCCAGAGCCGAGTGCGAGCCCAGCGGGAGAAAATCAAGGAGGTAAGAACCCCCACCAAAGAAAAGACCCTCTGGCACTCCCATGCCATTCCCCTGGCCCCAGTCCCTCCTGGTCCCTGCTCTACTCTAGGCCCTTCAGACACTCTGCACCTTCCTCTCTCTTCCCAAACTTACCACCTTCTCTCCTGCCTGCCCGCTGTCCCACTACTGGGTTCAATTAATAGTCCCCACCCTGACTGATGGCAGCTGCACCCCTGGGCCCCCAGACTTTCTGGTCTTTCTTGTCCAGTCCCCAGCCCAGGTGAGCTCTACTCCTTCCCTTGTGGAGTTGCTAGTGAGAGTGGAGTTCAAGTTCCTTAATGGGCACCCTCTGTTTGCATTTGTAGACACAGAACCACTGGTCGTGTTCTTTCTCTCTGTGTGTCATTAAGTCCAAAACCCCTGTAGGACCTGCTACCTGGAAACCCAGGATCTGGGGGGTATTTGGTGTCCTGCAAATATTTTGCAATCTAGTCAGCAACCTACAAACTAGAGGATGTTGTGTATTCTTGCTAACTGTTTCTATTGAGCTTGGGAACAATTGTACATAATTGCATGTGATGCAGGAAGGAATGATCAATAAGGCAGTGGTAATGTTTCAGAAGCACGGAGGTTATTGGCTTAATGAAGCAGGTCCTGGTCAGGTTCGCTATAGAGATTGTACTAGGGAGGGGTATGAAGGATCACTTTAAGCCTGAGTCTTAGTTTAAGAAATCAAAAGCAAATGCAGCCTCACGTGGCTTGAGGATGGTTGCCAAGTCACCACTGGTGACTAAGTATTCTGCTTGACCACTGTTAGAGCCGTCTGCATGAGGTTTGTGCCCAGCCATGCAGAGGGGGCTGCAGTGACACCCCCGGGCCACGAGGGGGCTGTGGGCAAGCTGTGGGCCAGGGTCTCCTCCCTAGAAACGAGAGGATGCTCTCCCTTCCCCAGGACCCAGGAGGAAAGGGCTGCTTCTGTCTGGACTGCTCGGTTTGCTGCAAAGGAGTCAGCAGGTCTGCCCTAATTTCCAGGGAGCACAGGCAGCAAGGGTCAGGACCTGCCCTGACAAGACCCACTGAGAGCTGGTGGAGAGCTTGGCTGTCCCCTTCTTATCTGAACTATGTTCCCTCCCAAAGCCCACCTCTCCCCTACTTCTTATCTCTGCTGTTACTCAGCCATCCTATGCTAAGCCCTGTTTGGAGACTGTCTTAACTAGCAATCACAGGACATTTTGAGAAGGCAAGATAGGAAGCCACAAGGAAGCTAAGTCCTTGGGGTATGTGCTTGTGCACATACACGTGCTCTCAGTCCAAATTCTTGTTGAAATCCAAAGGTTAACTGAAGGCTGGGATTTGCAGTAGCTAAGTAAGGGGCATGCATTTCTCTCCTTTCTGTTAAGGAACTGTGTTGTTGAATATTCACCTGGACTCAGCAGCTCCCTTGCTGAGCACAGCAGCTCTTTCTGCCCTTCTTGACCTCCTAGGAGGGCAGTAATCTCCAGTGAAATTACATATAAACTGCATGTGTGAAGTTTTTTGTGGCATGTCCAGAGCTGTCATCAGACTTTCAAAAGGATTAAGAATTAACTGCTGATCTATCTCTTCAGAAGAGGTGCTTTCTGCATTCGCATCTAGAAGGTGCCTCGTTTCTGAAAGCCTGGGGTTGAGAGCCATGGCCAGAGGGGTGGCCTGGCTAGTGAGGAACTTGGTTCTCCCCGCTCTATGAAAAGACAGGCTCTTCTGCCAGCAGAGGCTGGGGGTGATGACCTGGTGGAGCACCTGGGGAGTGGAAAGGGGTGTGAGGATTCTGTGCTTTCAGGTGGGTGTAAAATAGCATGATGGAAGGAGGTCCAGTTTGGTTGCCAGGTGTCTGGATCTTTCTATCTGGCATCTCCTTATGCCCCTTGTAGTTGCTGGAGGCATGCTTGCATATATTTGCAGTTCAACTGGCCCTCTCTTACTATCTTGAAGACCTTAAGCTCCTCAGAATGGAGGAGCTATTGTTTTGAAACCTGTTGTCTTTTTGGGCTTCTTGAGTTTGACCTCCCCACCTGCAACCTGAAAAATGTGGAACAGAGTTTTTGGTTTAGTTGTTAACACAGAGTTACTGTCCCATTGTCCACCTGATGAGGAATGCATATGATTATTGCTGGAGGGTGTCTCTATTTCCTTCTCATTTAAATTTCTATCTGCGTCATGCCCAGGGGTAGATCATTTTTAGAAGGGTGTCTGTTTTCGCAACAAGGACTGCTGCTTTCCTCTCTGGTTTATTTCCAGGCATGGATTGATTAGACCCGAGGAGCAGAGGGGGAGCTAGCATCAGATAAAAAAGGCCCTGTTGTTATAAGATGAGGTTTTCAAAGTGAAAGTGAATCTCAAGAGTGAATCAGAGAGCAAGATAAATGAGCTTGAATGAAAACTGGACACTCTGGCTCTAGATCAACAAAGTATATTTATGAATATCCTGAGAGTCGGACACAGGCACGAGGTCTGTGCTGATAAGATGGGTTGAAGCTGCAGGTTCTGGGCACAGATGCATCAGGAAACACTCTGTCCCTCGAACCAACTATTTTTCCTCACTTCCCAATTTTCAAACATTGGAGAAAGCAATATGGTAGAGAGAGGAAACCCAGAGAACATGGATTGGTGTCTCAGTTCAACTGTTAACTGTCTGACTTTGGACAAGCCACCTCCTCTCCTTCTTGAATGTTCCTGTAAAATGAGGGGAGGAAGAGGAAAGTAGGTCATAGACATGCTTGTTTCTAGCCCTGGCCCCTAAGTGGACTGCCAGTCTGGTCGGGGACTCCTCAGCAATGGGGCTTTCCCAGCTCTGTTTTCAACATATCTTAGTTCCATAAAGTCAGGGACAGTGGTGTGGTAGCAGTGGTGGTGTTGGTGGTGCTGTTCACTATTGTATCCTAGCACCTAGCCCAGAGTGCATGTTCACATAGTTGATCAGTTAATTATTCCTGTCACCCATATTGAGCTTTGGAGATGGGATTAAACAGTGACAGATCCTCAGCTTGGGATCGTGAAGAGGAAAGGTGTTGGCTGGAATGTAAAGGGGTGAAGGCTTGGCAGCAGCCTTCCCTTACAGATCTGAGGATAATATAGGAAATGGGGGACATTGTCCATAGGTGGGTTTCTTATGGATTCAAGTTCAAACAGACTTTTCTCACACATGACAAGAGTTCGGATGTATAGCGTGTCAGGGTTATATCCCAGTGAAAGAGTTCTTCAACGCGTCCTGCTGATGGTTGGTTGCTGATTTGGGGAACCTCAGTTCTCCCTGCCAGTGAATGGGGCTTTTTGTTAAAGGGAATTGGGCACCCTGGGGCAGTGAGAATGTGGCCGTGGAATTGGGGCTGCCCCTAGCCCATATGGTGCTTTCGGGCAAACTACAGGAAGGGTTTCTTCCTCTGGGGAGATGTAGCTCCACTCTGGAGTGCAGGGCTGGGCGAGAAGAACATGGAGAAGAACCACCCTCCTTGTGCTGTCTGCCCAGTGCTCTTAAACACTGCTGTGTTCAGTAGTCCTGCTGAGAATCCAACCTGGGTTCAAGTCTAGCTACTCCATCAACTCTGACCTTGGGGGGAAATTCCTGTTTATCGCTGGGCCTCTGTCTTCATGGTAAAACCAAGAGGCTGGCATTTAGGGGATTCTCGTCCTCCTACGCTTCTACCTGTTTACTGTTTTGTTCATGGATCTGCCCAAGGACCTAGAATAGGGTCTGACATTTAGTTGGAGCTCAGAGACTTTAATGAATGGCTATATTAAAGATCTATAACCTACTGTTAAAGTTGCTGGTGCCAGAGGCTGGGTCTTCTCCCTGAGGCTACCTGGAATTCTAAGGAGGCGCAGAGTAGGAACTACAGTCAGGTTTGGGGCTTTAGCAGCTTAGTGACCCAGGAGGCCTTTTAGAAGTTGCAGTAATTTTCTAAGTGCAAGTCTTACTTGAAGGGAGTGGGGAGGTGGCGCCCGTGAGTTAGTCTGAGTGCCCTAGCTCTTGCCCTCTGTGCCTGCTATGTTCAGCCTCCAGAATGTTGCTGGCTATGATATGTGAGAGTGTCCGAATAAGTCATCTTGGGAAATGATCTTTGCTCCCCATTAATGGGCTAGTTCGTCAGTCATGTGTGGTTTCTCTATATGTCTGATTTATCGTCACTGGTGCCAGGGACAGGTAGGAAAATTAAAAGGCTTTGTGTTCTTTGTAGCATGTGAATCTGAGCCTGTGAGATGTAGAGGATAATTAATATTAGGAACAGCTCAGATTTAAATAGCTTTGCTTCAAAGAGCTCTGTTTGAGTTGCAAATCCATCGAAGATCCTTTTCTTCTCCTGTCCTTCAGTTTCTTCAGTTTCCCTCTTGACCCTGCTCTACAAAACATTTAACATAGATGGAGACTGGCCTGTAATAACTGGACAGGTCCCTTGGAAGACCCTTACATCCTAAGCCCAGTCACACACACCTCCTCCTTCTTCCTTAGGATTAAGTGCTACAGTTAGAGTAAGACTGAGAACTTGTCCCTAGCAGGTATACATACAGCTTAACACCCACAGGTCGGTTGGGTCTCTGCTTTCATTTTGAAGTGCACTATCATTTGGGGGAATTATGCATTCCAGGAGCAATTGCTTCTCAGGCCTCACATTCTTAACTTGGCCTTTAGTGTTGGGGCTAGAAACAAATAGAATGACAACTTTTAAAAGTCAGCTACTTACTTCACAGTTCAGCTAGCAGGGGGGTAAGAATATAGATTCCCTTGTGGTTTTTAGAGTGACTGATTTACATCCGAGTTCAAGAAATGCTTTTTCTCTAGCTTTCCCGGAAGACTGATCCATTACTCCACAAAAAATAAATATTGTGATGTATATCAGGCATACTTTGCTCAAAGGGACTTACATCTTTTCTCGTATTGAAAAAAATAAATCAGGCTTGCAGATTGTAAAGCCTGTGTAGGGAAGTTGCCTGGTAATGTAGAGGGGCATCCAGCCTTGTGGATTCTGGCTGGCTTGGGGAAGAAA